GATCATTTACAAGCAATGGGAAAGATTTTAAAGGAAGGAAAATGGGTGCCACATCAACTGAACAAAAGACCAATGGAAAACCGAAAAGTCATCAGGAAAATGTTGCTTCAAAGGCACGAAAGAAAGTCTTTTTTGCATCGAATTGTGACTGGCGATGAAAGGTGGACTTATTTTGAGAATCCCAAATGCACAAAATCATGGGTTGATCCAGGTCAACCATCAATCGCTTTGGAAAGAAGACAATGCTCTGCGTTTGGTGGGATCAGGAAGGTGTGGTGTATTATGAGCTTCTAAAACCAGGTGAAACCATTAATACTGATCGCTACCGACAACAAATAATCAATTTGAACCACGCTTTGATCATGAAATGACCAGAATGTGCCAGAAGACACGGCAAAGTAATTTTGCTTCATGATGACACACCATCACACACTTCAAACTCAGTTAAAGATACGTTAAAAGATCTTGCCTGGGAAGTATTAACCCACCCGCTGTATTCACCAGACCTTGCTCCTTTAAATTACCACTAGTTCTGATCGATGGCACATGCACTTTCTGAGCAGCACTTCAAAACATACGAAGAAGTGGAGAATTGGGTCTCTCAATGGTTTGCCTCAAAACAAGGAATGTTCTATTGGGACGGTATCCACAAATTACCTGAAAGATGGGGAAATGTGTAGCTAGCGATGGACATTACTTTCAATAAAGCACTTTTGATGTTTCTGGTAGGAGGGGTGGAGGCATGAAAGGGCTGGCCGGGCACCCACAGACAGCAACTGAAGCCCCAGAGAGATATCTCAACTGTTGGGGGAGGGGTGCCACTGAGAACTCTGGGATCTAATGCCGAAGCTGAGCTCCCCAGCAGAGAGCACCAAACTGAGGAGGGTATCCCCATAACATTTAGCTGTGAAAAGCAGTGGGGTGCTGTCTGCCAGGGAGTGGCAGCTGAAAGTTCAGGCACCCTCTTAAAGGGCCATGCACAAAAATTCCCTGTGGAGCCACCCACCTTGTGTTCTGGCAGAGAGAGGGTGAAGTGGACTGGAGCTGTGAGAGCAGAACCAAGGACTGGGGATTTGGGGGGATAGAGCTCAGAAGGCAGACACCCCAATTTTCCTGGGCTGAGTCATTCCCTCACACAGTGGAGGACATCTTTCCCACATAGACATCTGCCTTGCCTGGGGGGAGGACAGTTGGCACACCGTGTTGGAAAACACCTTGCCCTGAGGCCACTTAAGAGATTAAAAGTAACAATTAGCTTCCAGGCAGAAGCAACTGCCCCACCCTGTTGAAAAAAACTCTCGCCACATTGAGGACAATTGCCTGGGGGCAATTCAAGTCAGAATCGTATTAGTCTGTAGACAGAGGTGGTCTCCGGAGGCTTTGAGTCTTTGCCTGATTCAATTAGTCAGAAACAGCCTTTAACACTGTCCTGCACTAGAGATTGAGAGGTATTGAGGATCTACCTAAAATGTAGTCACAAACCCAGACAACCAAAAGGAGGAAACAAAAAAAAACCCCAAATGAAAGAACTAGAGAAGTCTCCAGAAGAAGAGATAAATGAAGCAGAGATAAGAAATTTATCTAAAACAGAGTTCAGAATAATGATGTTAAAAATACTCAACAGTATGAAAAAAGATATAGTAACTATGAAAAAAGAACAGTCTGAGATAAAGAATGACATAACACAAATAAAGAATACATTGGAAGGAATACACAGCAGATTAGGGGAAGCTGAGGATCGAATCAATGAATTAGAAGACAGAGTTGAGCCCTAGCCGGCTTGGCTCAGTGGATAGGGCGTCGGCCTGTAGACTGAAGGGTCCCAGGTTCGGTTCCAGCCAAGGGCGCATGCCTGGGTTGCGGGCTCGATCCCCAGTGTGGGACATGCAGGAGGCAGCCAATCAATGATTCTCTCTCATCACTGATGTTTCTATCTCTCTCTCTCCTTCTCCCTTCCTCTCTGAAATCAATAAAGAAATATTAAAAAAAAGAAGACAGAGTTGAAAATACCACTTAATTATAGAACCAAAAAGAAAAAAAAAAACAATTAAAAAACAGGAGGACAGCTTAAGGGAGTTGTGGGACAATGTGAAATGTAACAATATTACAATAGTAGGTGTGCCAGAAGAGGCTGAAAGGGAGAAAGGAATAGAGAAGGTGTTTGAAGAAATAATGGTAGAAAACATCCTTAACCTGGTAAAGGTAAAAGTCACACAAGTTCAGGAGGCACAGAAAACCCTAAACAAGAAGAACCGAAATAGACCCATGCCCAGATACATCATAATTAAAATGCCAAAAATTAAAGACAAAGAGAGAATCTTAAAGGCAGCAAGAGAAAAGAAAACTGTTATCCAGAAAGGAGTTCCCATAAGGCTGACACCTCATTTCTCATCAGAAAATCTACAGGCAAGAAGGGAATGGCATGAAGTACTCAAGGTAATGGAAAGCAAGGATCTGAGATCAAGAATACTATATCCAGCAAGGGTATCATTCAAAATAGATGGTCAAAAAAAGAGCTTCCCAGACCAAAAAAAAAGGCTAAAGGACTTCATCATCACCAAGCCAGCATTGAAAGAAATACTAAAGGGCTTGCTGTAAGGATTGCTGAGAAGAAGAAACAAAGAGAGAAACCTAGCCATACAGAATTAAAATGGCTACAAATAAGTACCTCTCAATAATAACCCTAAATGTAAATGGAATAAATGCTCCAATCAAAAGGTGTAGGGTAGCTGAATGGATACAAGAATGTGACCCAACTATATGTTGTCTACAAGAGACCCACCTCAAAGCAAAAGACACACACAGGATAAAAGTGAAGGGATGAAAAAGATTTTTCTGTGCAAATGGAAAAGAAAAAAAAGCTCGAGTAGCAATACTCATAGCTGACAAAATAGATTTTAAAAACTTCATGCTAAGCAAAATACCCCAGTCGGAGAAAGATAAATATCATATGCTCCAATCAAAAGGTGTAGGGTAGCTGAATGGATACAAGAATGTGACCCAACTATATGTTGTCTACAAGAGACCCACCTCAAAGCAAAAGACACACACAGGATAAAAGTGAAGGGATGAAAAAGATTTTTCTGTGCAAATGGAAAAGAAAAAAAAGCTCGAGTAGCAATACTCATAGCTGACAAAATAGATTTTAAAAACTTCATGCTAAGCAAAATACCCCAGTCGGAGAAAGATAAATATCATATGATCGCACTCATTTGTGGAATATAATGAATAACATAAACTGATGAACAAAAATAGAGCCAGAGGGGG